AAAACCCACCTCCAACCCACCTTAAATCAAAAAACTTGAGTTAAGTACTTCTAACAGGCCTTGTCTACTGCATCTCCAAGTCCTTCCAGCAAAGGAAGTTCTTTTCCGATTATTCTTCCGTGAAATTTATAAATTGACTTTGCAACATAATCAACTAAATACTCCAACTTTAATATTTTGCATTCATACCAAAAACAATTAACAGTTTTTACAAATAGTGTTATTTACTAAAACAATTCTTGTACAACAGAGCAGTATATCTAAATATATACATATGCCAACATCAAAGGGAGCATCAAAACCAACGAAACCAAAAATGCACTTTGCTATTGTGCACATTTTATTAAAACCAAAGCAGATTGCAGCAGGCTTCTTCTGTCTTTTAAGACAAAGACAAAAATTATTTGGATTTCCAGAAGCACATGCAGAGTAGAAAAACCAAAAACTCCCACCACCTTTTTGCCAAGGTAGCAGCATGAAAAGTGAACTTTAGATCTGCAACTTTAAATAGTAGCAAATGAAATGCTTTTAAACACAAACATCCTAATTCAAGAAACAAGGCTTCAAAAACATACCTAGTGTTTTTTTACATGTTGAAGCAAAAAGTTCAAATGTCAAGGCCTTCCTATGTTTTACTCTGGTGTTGGATAGTATACACATGAAGGTCAATACTCTTCACTGCAGCTGAAAATGAAAAAGGATGAGCTGTAGCGTGGAGCTGTTCAGCTTTACTAATAACTAATTGAATAACAGAGTCAAAAATTATTCTGCCTGCTGTTAGCAATGGAGAGGTTTGTAACTTTTACTTTATCTTTTTCTTTAAAATAAAAATCTCCTCCCAGTTTTTAACTGGAAGAATTATGCTCCCTATCTCCTCAAAACAGACAGATGCATCTTTCCCGAAGGCAGCTGCAGTTATGTAATTCAAAGTGCCATGGCAGCTGCTGTAGTTAGGGATGTTCTTCTTCATTCTGTCTGTGAAACCCAGCAGACAAGGAATAAGGTAAGACCTTTATATGTAAAACTGAAAAAATATGTTTGAAATATGAGTGAAAAATAAGGTAAGTGATATTAGAGAAAATACTAAAAAAATTGGAGAATGAGGTATTAAGCAGTTCTCCAGTGTAAATCTGATGTTCCTGCCATCTAGATGAAATCAGAGAACTACAATAGCAGCCTAGATTTGATTAGCAAAATATCTACATGCCATTAAAAGCAAATTTCTCTCCTTTGTTACATCTAAGCATCTACAATCTGGCAGAATTCTCTGAAGGTCCAGTTCCACAAATTCATTTCAGTTCATCTCGCCTCAAAACTCACAAACGGTAACTGTACCATGAGGGCAATATGCCTTGTTCAGAAGCACACATTAATTCTTCTATTTTGTTCCATTTTGCTGTTGGTTTACTGTTGTCTATATATGCTTTGACCAGTGAAATTAAATCCGTATCTACCTGGGTAGCAGTTAATGGAGGTGGGTAAATATGTTGCCACTGTTCCTGCAACTGCACACTCTGGAACACCGTGCTGTGACATCGGTAGCAAATTTTAACAAGCTGCCTCACTATTTTTCCTGGGATGCTTTACAGTAAGTCTTATTAAATCCATATCTACCTGGGTAGCAGTTACTAAATGGAGGTGGGTAAATATGTTGCCACTGTTCCTGCAACTGCACACTCTGGAACACCGTGCTGTGACATCGGTAGCAAATTTTAACAAGCTGCCTCACTATTTTTCCTGGGATGCTTTACAGTAAGTCTTGACATCTTGGTTGTGCCCACATAAACTGAGATAACACACATGGGTAAACAAGCTTTGTTTATAGAAGTGAAACGCACTGAAGGCACTTTCCAGAGTTTGCCCCAGTTCATGATAACCAAGACACTAAAATACCCCTTTCTGAAGTTAATTTTTGTATTCCTTAATGAAAGAGGTAAGTAACAATGAGTTATAACAAACTGTTATGAAAACATTTTAGCCTTACATTGACAATCTACACATAAATAAAGAAGACATTAAAAAATGAAGTGTTCTACTGGAACACAAATAACATATCACCTCCAGGGATTCTTAGCTTTCAAATAGATTAACTTTCTAACACTTTATTTTCCAAAAAGCTGTACAGTAGCTGTACATATACTTTCCCCCTCTCACCCATATGTCAGTGTTCAATACCATAGTAAAACAGAACATGTGAATTTGGTCAAAAAATGCATAAACAAAGTATCTCATAACAAATCACAGCAGAAAAGCCCCAGTATTGGCATCTCCAGGTTCATGACACTAAACCAGCAGAGAGCAGGTGAACTGTAATGTAATTGCTAAACTATCAGTTAAAGAGGATACAGGAGAAGGAATGAATGAAATCAGTGCAATGACAGCATCTAGCAAGGTAGTAGGAGGCATTACTTTAGACTATCCAGCATCTGGGACACAACTGAGCGAGAAGATGAAATAACCTTTGATAAATGAGAAAAAGAAACATCAAGCAATACAGATCTGCATTCAAATTAATATGAAATGGAACATTTAGGATGTGACCGAAACACTAAGACTCAAAATCTAAAACTCTAGTGCTCTACTGCACCAACTGTAAACAATGAAAAGAGATTCTAAGTCAGCTAAAATTCACAACGTGTCACAGGAGATACCTTAGAGGAGTGACTTTATTAATGGCATGAAGGAAAAATAAAGTGTCCATCTTTGTTTTCACAACTTTTATTATACTGGATTTATAACGGCATTGCATTTTAGAAAGTGTTTTTGGTCACGATGAACACAAATGAAAGATGATTTTAATTTTCTTAAAGATGGATAAATGCCCAAAATAAGTAAGTTGGAAAGCAGAATAACTTAAGATACACATAATTTTTCAGTGTTCAAAGGAGAAACCAGGAACAAGCATTTCTGCATGTTAAGGAAAGAAGACGTCAAAAATTTTAAAAACAAAGGCAAATTAGTATCAAAAAGTATTTTTGCTGAGTCATTTCTGCACAGAGGCTCCCTAGGCCCTTATCAGCAAACATGTGACATAACATGAAATCATAAGAATAGAGATAGTCAATGTCAACCGGACTATTTTGATGCTTGAAGCTTTTCCCTGAATCAGGGCCTAAGAACTATGGAGTAAAAAGTTATTTTTACTTTTGTATAGAAATTACACACTTCTGTACATACTGTTTCTTTGATTTTGGAATAGGGTACTTAAAGCATACAGAGAACAAACTCTAAATGATACTACACACCCTTCCTAAAGAAAATCACCTCTTTAATCTCTTTAAAATGATCTATGACCATATCTTGTACAGACCTTTTTTTTCTTTTTTTTTTAGTATTTCCTTTCAAATTCCCCAGATTTTTGTGGTAACACCAAGTACTAAAGTAATGACAGTTTGTGAGACTTTAAAAATTCTGGAGATAAACAATGTATGAAAATACTACTATCAAATCAATCAACTGGCTAGAACATCTCCAACTAGAACACATCAGCTATGGGCACGTTTTATAATCACCCCAGCTAGAAGTTGTGCAAGGTAGTCATCTGAAAGCATTAACAGGCAAAATACCAGTGTCTGTTAAGAGAGTGAAGCAAAGGCATGTTAGGTAACTGTGAACAGATGCAGGAGTGTATGGGATAACCAAGGTCAGCTTATAACGTACAACTGCAACATCTAATTTCAGAAGCATCACGCTGAAGTACATAAAAGCGAACAATTTCTGATACACAAACTAAACAAGACTGAAAACACAGATGTGATGTTGAAGCCATCTAGTATTGCTCTAAGTGGAATTAGTCACTGGAAATGGTAAGAGGAAAGGAGGACGCATTAACAGATTGAAGAGAAATGCAAAGTAACAACAGTCTCTGTACATTAAACTTTGATCAAGCATACTTAAAATGCTCCCTTCCATTACCACATTCTTTTTTGCAGCACCTCAGCAACAGAAAGTATCATGTTTTAAAGAGCCACCTGGCTAAGCTACTGAGAAATGCAAAGGTTTAAAAAAGGCTAATGCATGTTGCTGCAGAAGAGAATTCAAAGGAACCTGAAAGTGAATGAAAGTAAGATGCCTCATAATATCTTCATACTATAGGTGGGCTAATAAACTCAAACAGTACAACCAGAAATTGAAACAGATGTTTAAGGCAGAAGTGCTTGTGTCAGAACAGTAAACAGAACAAATTGCTAAGCAAGGCCACAAGAGATAAAATAAAGCCCTGAAGGTTTGTTCAGCAAAGCAATTTAAATGTCCATAATTCTCCATGTTCTAATTAAGAAGACGAATAAAGTAGTGCTATTCGTGTTGTGTGTTCCAGTTTAAAACTCCACCGCTTCTCTTCCAACTCAATTCCTGTCTTTGGTGCAATCTCCACCAACACATGTAGAATACAGTTCTGGTTGTTGTTGTAAAAAACAGCTTGGAAAAAATAAATTACATGCTTCTCATGATAAAATGCAAGATCCTGATCTGTTGCATGGTCCCGTGATATGTTTAGCAGCCTCTGAACAGTAGTTTTAAGTTATTAATTATATATGAAGCAGAATCATAATTTGCTGTTATCCCCCCCAAATCACTTACTAGTTAACTAGTTACTTTGGTAGACAAGCCATCTAACACTCATGATACGCTTGTGTTCATTTTGAGAAATAATGAAACCTAGACTCTGGTAAGTTTGTAAATTCATATGTAGACCTTAGCTTGTAAGTGTAACCATGATATGCAGAATTACTGCTTTTCCTGCATTGGAAAGACATCACATCTGTCATAAAACTAGACAAAACTATGAAACGTCATTGTCAGTTCATGATTAAAATAAAATAGTAAATTATTTTTAAACATTGTGTTAAATATATTCACATGATCACCATAGCTATACGAAATGGCCACTATTGCAATCACACACTATATGTACATAACATATATGCCACAACAGTTTGCAAGTGTGAGTTTTCACAGACTAGCCAATTTTACCAGACATAAATAATCTTGTACCAATTTTTAGGCATTTTAAAAGGAATTAAGTGTCCTAAATATATCCGTTCCTCTGCAAAATTAAAAAAAAAAAAAATCCTAAAAAGTCAGTGCAAATTGAACTTGTTCACCAAGATAGATTCTTATTAAGCTGAGAATAAACAAAGTTTAAGAGATTAAAGGAGGAAACTCATAGAACTGCCAACTGCCTTTCACAGAGGGTAAAGAAGATTAGGAATCGGAAGTCCTGGATCCTATAGCAGAGCCTTCTGCGAGTAACTATGCTGCGGCTGTTGAGGTGGCGGAGGCTGTGGTTGTTGTGGAGGTGCCTGTTGGCTGCCTGCTGCTGTCTGTGGCAGAGGTGGAGATGCTAAGTTATAGTTTGCCACCTGGGGCATATTAGTTCCAGCATTCTGATAAGCAGCAACATCGACAGTAGCAGATGGCGGAGTATACACTGAAGCCTGGTTAGAGTAAGTATTTCCAGCAACAGAGCCAACCATTGCACTGAAAAAAAAAAAAGAAAAAAAAAAGGTAAATTAAAAAACAGTTTATCAACAGGACAGTAATACTTTATTGCTTCTTGAAATGTTGGATATATACACACAAAAAAATCTCCTAACTTGGGATACCTTGCACGTTTAAAACTGTAGATAATAAATATTCCAATTAAAACTCAAACACACCCTTCGCTAGACTGAATTTATACTTCGTTTTATTTTAATATGCAACATGGAATCTCACCTATCTTCCATTCTATTCACGAAAAGATACCAAAACCCAACCAATTGTTTTAAATAGCAAAACAAGTCGGGTGAAAATGCAGAAACGCATTTGATCAATATATGCCTCACCACCCCAAATAGGTAACTTCGGAAGACAAATAAATACTTTGATAACTCAAGATCAATATCTCTATCTCTCCCAAGTTTATTTTATAAAATTACTTTATACAGACAGTAAAAAAATAAAATAAAATCAAAATTAAGAATTAAAAAAATAAAATCAAAAATAAAATCCCTAATCTTTTCCTAAGGTCAATTCAAAACGTTTTCACTGTATGGACAGCTTAGCCAAAGCTTGGCATCTTTGCACTTGTAGCTCCTTTACATGCAGAAGTTGTACAAGCCTTACTAAGTATTTATAGTCCATTCACTTCTTTTCCAATGAGCAGAATTCTCCCCATGCTTCCACAGTAAGACATGTGAATAAAACACAATACGATATATGCTGTCTCAGAAATCATGCAAAGCCAGCCAGAGCTTCAGATCATCTTCACTATTAAATGTATATTAAGCTATAAAAATGAAAAATAAAAAATGAAAATAAAAAATTTTAAAAAAATAAACTTTAAAATTAAAAAAGTCACATCTATGTAATTTTCTCTGATTTTTCTTTTATATAAAAGAAATATAGTTCCAGAAAAAATATGTATTTCTTACATTTAACAGTACAAACAGAGGAAATAATAAAAACAACAGAAAATTTTGAAGTTTCTTAGAAATTTTTACCAAATACAGGACACCAATAAAAAGCACACTAAAACAAGTTGCACTGAAGTATCTTACAGAAGTATAATCTTAAAAACAACTGAAAGAAAAAAAATCTCCTTTAAATATTATCTGTAGCCCTTTATGTTTAAACTTGAAAAGGAAAATATTTTAAATTACTTTGTGTACGAGGTCTGTGCAGGCTGCCCAGGCAGTACTGAGCTGGCAGATGGAGTAACTGTGCCTTGGCTGAGAGAAGAGAGCTGTTCAGGAGGAAGATTATAGCCTTGAATATGGCCCATCTGTGCACTCCCTGCCACCAAATATGCATTACTTTGAGGCTGCCCTGGATAAACCTAGGAAGTTAAAAAAAGGAATGTTAAAAATAAAACAGAGGAGAATTTGGTATTTATTATCTGACTTTAGAAATTGATGACAGCCTCTCAAACCTTTTAGTACGAATGTTTTAAGAGAAACCAAGTGGTTGTCTTCTATTAAACGTTGCAGTACAAAAAATTTACCGGATTTTCAAAGGATGCTATTTGCATTCCTAGCTTCATGCTCCAGTACCAAAAAAAATGAAAAAAATAAATCAAATAGATTACTGGAAAACTTGTATTCCAGATTTGATTTTAATGACCATCACTCATGCTAATTAAAGCTTCTACTTTTGAATGAATGTACCAAAGTGTTTAAATCACATAACAAATTGCAATCCAAAGCAGAACACTTTTTAACTTTGACTGTTAAAATGAAAAGCAAATAATGTACTGTTTTCATGTTGTTAGTTAACCTATCATTACATGTAACCATTGAGGTTGCAATTGCAAAATTGTTTGAGCAGGGCAGAAGGGAAAAAAAGGTCTTAAGAAAATTTCAAGTGAAAATAAGGGAATGGTTTACAACTAACTAGAGAAAAAGCTTGCTAGTAGATGTGTGTCAAGGGCTGACAGTGTGTCAGCTCTAATTAAATCAAGATTTAGTTTCTAAACCCTATGCTTTTGTTCAATTACACAAATTTTTGTTCAATTACACAAATTTTCAATTACACAAATTTTTGGGAAGGGAGTTGGCAGGGCTCATAGAGAGAGCTTTAAACTAGGTATGGAAGGGGGTGGGGGCAAAACCAGGACCAATGAAAAGGAGCAAGAATGTAACATGCCAGTGCTTGTCGGGGAGGAATGTAGTAGTAACAGGATCATACAATCTTGTAAATTAGCAAGGGATCAAAATGTCATACCAAGCTGCAAGCAGAACACAAGGGTTGTTGAGAGGATGGTTACTATGGAAACATCTGAGTATCATCAGGAAGGTGTTCGGGCTTCTCCCATCCAAAAGGTGACCCAGCTGAGGTGCATCTACACCAATGCACGCAGCATGGGTAACACAGGAGGAACTGGAGGCCATTGTACGGATGAAAAACTATGATCTAATTGCCATAACT